GACCCAGGGTCCAGGCCCAGCCTCCTCCCTCAGACCCAGGGTCCAGGCCCAGCCTCCCCCATCAGATGCTACAGAACGGACCCCAGCCCCAGTTCCTCAGCCCAGGGATCCAATCATTCTTTGAGGATAAAATCTTTAAATCTGACCTGCATGACACACCACCCCAGCTGTGACCTTCCATCCTCTATTGACAGGACAGACACAAGTGTTCTGAGGACGTGTCCTGGGTCGGGGTCCCGCTTGGGGAAAGGATGAGACAACAGGATTCCAGAGCGATGCAGTGAGACATGACCTCAGCGCCGGGGGGAGCAGGTGGCCGAGCCACTGGGAGAGCAGGTCCCTCCGGCCTCTGGGACAGCTGCTCCCTTCTCTTGGGGATATGGCCTTGGGATGATGGGAGTTACTTTATTTTTTTTAAGTTTATTTATTAGTTGTAGATGGACGCAGTGCCTTTATTTTATTTAGTTATTTTCATGTGGTGCTGAGGATCGAACCCAGGGCCTCGAAGGCACGTGCCAGGAGAGCGCTCTACCACGGAGCCGCAGCCCAGCCCTGCTGTATTTTTTTAATGAGCATTTTATTTTGCTGTAGTTCTAGATTCATGGAACAGTGGCAGAATCTGCAGTGCCTGTGTGCCCGTCACCCAGCCAGCTCTCCCCACGTCCCTTAAAGCTCCACAGGATCCTTTCACCAGGGCTGCCACCAGGGGCCTTTTCCTGTCCCAGGGTCCTGTTCAGTGGACTCACTCTTGCATCCAGAGAGCGTGAGTTCCTGTGCAGGGGCAGTGTCCAGCCCCTGACCCTCTGCGGGGACAGGATGGGCCTGGCTGGTGCTGCAGGCAGAGCTGTCCTCCGAGGGAGGCGCTGTGGGGGAGAAGGGGAGCCTGGCTTGTGGAATGGACGGGTCTCTGGCAGACAGCTGGACAATACTAGCCTTGGTGCTCAGTGCTCTATGGGAGGAGAATCCAGAAGGATCTGAAAATGAAAGGCCAAGTCCACCCTGGACAGTGTAAGATGGGGGCAAAGACAGACACAGATGGCTCTGTCACCAAGTCCAGAGGAGCCTGGGGTGGGGGTGCTGTGGACCCGGAGCAGGAGGGGGCAGGGGCGGCGCGGGGAGGGGGAGAGGGAGTAGATTGGGTCCAGAATGGATGAGCGACTTCCACCACCTCGCTCAGAGCCAGAGGAAGGGGAGAGGTGGAAGCCAGAGACGTCAGGTCGGACCCTCCAAGTTCAGATTTGGTACCCTGGACACTGGGTGACACCTATTGTCTTCAGAGAGGAGTGGTGCCACAAGAACCCAGGACAAGCTTTCAACATGTCCCCAGAGTACAGAGACATGTCTATAGAGCATCAGGACCTTCCTCGGAGAAGGCACACCTAGGACAAAGGAAGGGTCCTTGTGGGAGTACAGAGCTGGGACTCCTGGGCCTGAGGGAGGAGGCTGGGGTCCAGATCCCTGGGCCTGAGGGAGGAGGCTGGGCCTGGACCCTGGTCTGAGG